GAAACCCGTTTTGTGTTTTCTCGCATCAAGAAGCTGGCGACACAGGACTCCGACCATATCTTTAAATCGGAGAAAATTGAATAGTTCAAAGAATCACAACGCAAAAATCGCAATTATACTATCATTTTAAACGAAGCAACGCGTCATTAAGCGTACATGCACCACCACGCTGTGATACACACGGTCGCATCGTCGGAATCGACGGTTGAACTCTTATGAATGTGCATTGTCGTAGTTGACAGAACAGACTATTTAATCAGCCACAGTCATCACCTTCATGTGACATTCCTCTGGACTAAATATTCTCCTGAAGGGAGTTTCTTGTTTTTTCCATTTTTTCATAATTTAACATAGCCATCATCCGAATATTATTGAATATAATTATAACTTATTTGCCTTATCCTTCTACCTGGCTCGCTTTTTACGCTCAGGTACGCGAAACTACACTGTAAACGCATTCGGGGATACGTAAAAGGCATTGGATACTCACCAGGCATGCGGTTTACCGGTTCTAATCTACAGCACTGCTGGAATGCCATACGGATCGACGGCACTTGGCCCCTCGTTGACTGCCAGTGGGGGGCCCGTTCTGATGCTGCGACAGGAGCCGACAAGGGGAAAGTAACCTATGAATTGGAGACCTTCTGGTTCCTCACCGACCCGGGTCAGTTTATTAATTCGCAGTTTCCGCACGATGCCGACTGGCAACTGCTGCACAATCCAATCACTCTGGAGGTGAGTACTTGGCCTTCCCTCTGCTCCTCTTGAAGACCTAAATGTGGTAGTCTGTGACTAGAGCTGTTAATCTACCGAAACCCTTCCAAAACCAAAAAAGGCTAACAGTCTGGAAGTAGTTAATAATGCCAACTTTTAAATATCTCAATAATGGGCTGATTGCATTACTAGATACCTGAAATTCTTTCCCGCATGGTTTGTTTCCGACCTGCCGTGTATAAACGTTGCGAAAATTAATTTTTCATAGCTGATAATATGAAAAGTCAACCATGTGTTTGGAACACCAGAAAGATAAAGGAACTGATGATTTTAAACTAATAAATGTACTTCTAGAATGATATGTAGTG